AAGCTGCTCTACCGGAAGCACATGTATCAAAATGTATCACGTTTTTTGTTTATATGCCTTTTTATCTTGCCTTTTTATCTTCTTCATGGTCTTCTTCAGACTTGTTCGACTAGCACCTCTGTTTTCAAAATACCATAACCACAAAAATTTTCAGCTCATCCCTCGGAGGGTTTGTGCTCTCCTCCTGATCTCAGTCACACTCCACCCGGTATTGTTACGAAATTGGACGCGTTCCACAGACCAAAAATCAATTGGAGGTCGGCTTTTTAAGTCTTAAGTTTCTTTCCAAACGTTTCAGGTGATTTTTGCAAAGGTGATTTAGCGCAGTGCTGCTTGCGTGCCATCTCACGGGTGCAGCCAGCTGGCACTGCCTGGGTGATTATAAGTGACCTCTAGTTACTAGCGCCAAATCACCGAACTCTCTCTTTTATATCGCGTGAGGCGGACACGTACTATGTACAAATTAATTACAGTTTTCTTTCGTTTACAAAGTTTCAATGTTGCTTCCTTCCTAATAGTACCGTTTTTGAGACATGTCTTAGGATTTTTTGGCGCTACCGTAGTTGAGTGGCCTCCGGACGACTGGGTGTGTTAGTTACTGCATTCAGATGACTGCGCAAGATGCTTGCAACTTATGTCACATTCGCGGCGGGATTGGCTTAGCCTTGGTAGGGCGCAAGTGACCAATGTTCGCGCGATCTCATCTGATCTACATTCAGTCGCACCACTGCGTCCTCCTCAACTACATGAGCCTTTTCTTCCGTTTGAGCCGATAACATTGATTATTTCTAACCATAAATGTTTGCACACTCTGACTAAATTTCTTTCAGAATGACGGGTGAGCGCCTTGTTTGTTTATGTTGCTCAAAGAAGAATCAGTGTTTCTGCAAAAAATGTACATTGGAGAAGTGTGAGTATCTTTAGATCTGCATTATGTCGTTATCGATAGCAATCGCAAGGTTTTCAGTAAAATTCTATTCTCGAAAGGAGAATATATCAATACGGTCAACGAGGAAAGCAGAACTAGAAAAAGAGGTTGACAACTTGCTCGGAGAGGCGGTAGGTTCTGTTTTCTGACCATGCTTGCTATTCTTCAAGGCTACGTTTATAATTTGCGGCAGCGACCGCCAGCGTTTCGAGCGTCAGCACGTACCAGCGACTAGGAAAGTGTATGTATCAATCTAGCGACGCGTGGTTTACCTGTCTGCTACCCTTTTGCTTCCCCATACTCTCCGCTTCTGGATGTTGGTGAACGCTGGCAAACGCCTGATCGATACCTTTATTTCGCTAGTCGCTTGAGCGCTGGTGACGGACGCTGGTAGACGATGCCGCGAAGTATGAGCGATGCGATTTCACTCGGAATGTTACAAAAAATGCAAATCTCCTTAAAATATATATCGCACAAGAACACAAAAGCCTGAGAAGAAAATCAAATGCCCCCTGTTTATTTTTAAATTTTTCGGTGCTCAGCACCTTCTTCAGCGACCTAGGTCTGACCTTTTTATTGTGGTGTAGCAGCTCCAAATCTTGAGAGTTTAGCCTTCCCAAAAGGAATTTTAACAATTTTACCATTTTACGTTTATATTATGCAGATTCGCCTTTACAAGTTATTTCCAGGCCAACCTATGTGCTGATATCAACACCACGACGGCTAACATAACACTGCTGAGAAAATGGGTTGACGAGAAAAAGCAAATAAATAAGTTGAAAGCCGATCGCTTGGCCGCAATAGAACAAATGATCGTCTCAACTGCAAGGCATGCCAACAAAGTGTTGGTGAGTGTGAAGGTTCTCATAGTGATACAGAACACAAACATGTTGAATTGCAGTCGTACTACGATAAGCACGACGCAAATGAGCTAACTATGCAGAGGAGACGAGAATATAAAGAAGCTAAAGTGGGCGAAATGAATAGAAATGTAGGTGTTCGAGACTGCTGCTTTTGTTGCCTCCTTTGATTGTTATATTCCAGGTTTTTTCTACTGCGCAAAGCTTTTTTATGCGGGTCATTATTCTCGATTTTCCCGGTCTCAGAGGTCATTGCTCAGAGTGTACGACCACAGGGTAGCACTGATCAGCCTGATGAGAACACAAATGGGTAAGCAGGTTATACTATACCAGTCGGATCGCCCGGCTGACGCCGAGCTCTCCTCCTTCTCTTTAGCTCGGCTTCGCCGAGCTGGCCTGGCTTCGCCAGGCGCGCATAATTTGAACGCAACTTTTTCGACATGTGTTGTATGGGCTTTATGGCGAGGACCACACCCTTGCTGCAAATATAAGCGTATGCTTAGGAATGCAGGATCCACAACGTTGCTCTATCTATAATGATTCGATCACTACAGCGCCATATGAGCAGCCCACTGTCGAAAAAGTTGCGTTCAAATTATGTGCGCCTGGCGAAGCCAGGCCAGCTTGGCGAAGCCGAGCTAAAGAGAAGGAGAGAGCTCGGCGTCAGCCGGGCGATCCGACTGGTTATTACTAAATGGCTCATGTAAAATCGGATCGCCCGAGCTCTCCTCCTTCTCTTTGGCTCGGTTTCGCCGAGCTGGCCTGGCTTCGCCAGGCCTCCATAATTAAAACGCAAATTTTTCGATAGTGGGCTGCTCATGCGGCACTGTAGTGATCGAATCGTAATAGATACAGCAACTCTGCGGATCCTGCACTCCTAGCTACGCTTATATTGCAGTGGTAGTTTGGTCCGTGCCACAACGCCCATACAATGCATAAATACAATACATAAATGTGTAGATATAGATACAATGTGCAGTCGGCCAATACAAAGCAATATGAATCGCTCAGTAGAAGAACAGATTCCATTAACTGCACCTAATAACGCTTCCCTTTTCAATCACCGTGCAACCCTTTTGCTGAAGTACAAATAGTTTGTAGGGTATCAATGCTCCTTATTACTTCGGTCCAATTGAATGCGTGGGAAAGCCTCTCCTCCCAATTATGTAAATTTTCGGTTTTCTCCCAATTTCCTGACTATCCTGTTTCACTCGAACTATATATCCCCTCCGCTCGTCGACATCGACATTGCATAATAGGATAGTGGGATGAGTTCATTTTCTATTGTAATCAGAGAAGTGATGGCTGAACGAAAATTTTGCACATTGAACCTTCAATACTTGGCATTGTAGTGGTAAGAGATGTAATGGGAATGACCCCTTATCATAACCTATCAATTGATAAGAGATTGCCTGTCGCCCATCATCAATTTCCTATCACTAAAACTCTATAATTTGGTAGTGTCAAAGCCCCAACACTTTGACTGAACAACAACGGCAACTTTCCTTATCAGCCCCTATCAGCTGTTATCACCTCCTGTCACCCGCCGTCGATGTTCTTATCTCCCACTCTATACAAATTTCTGAAATCAACGCCTAGCTGATGCTGTGTCCTGTGTTATGACTATGCTGACCTTCCCTTTTCTATCTCTCCTTATCAAATCTTATCACCTCCTGGTAGTTCTTGTCACCGACCAATAATGTTCCTGTGCCATACCCTATATCATACCTTGGAATCAACGAACCACAGTTGCTGTGACCCGCATTATGAGCATTTTGACCATAACATTCTGAGGTCCCTTATCGAATCTTATCAGCTGCTAAAAGTTCTAGTGACCCACAAATAATCTTACTGTCTCATTCTCTACATCATATCTCGGAACTAAAGTCCCATTGCTGCTGTGAACTGCACTATAGACTGGGTGACCGTACCCTTTGGACGCCCCTTATCGAATCTTATCAGCCGATAACACTTCCTACAACCCACAAATGATGTTCCTATTACACCCCCTCCATCACTTCTTGGAACCAAAGTCTCACTGTTACTGGGACAGGTGTTATGAATTTCGTGACACATCAGCACCACACACACACAAAACAACGCCCACACACGACACACATAGCGGATTATATATAGTAGGATGTGTTGGATACTTTGTCGCTGGTGCATCCTTCGTCACAATGGTAAAAATTCTACCGAGAGGCACACCCATTACTGCGGTGAGATCACAACAAATTTGAGACGTGGGCAGTTCTGCAAAAATAGTTTATATTGTAACCAGTATAGTGAATAGCAATGAAGGAAGAGACCTCAAGCCCAAGAGCAGTAGCAGCTATATCCCAAACTCACAGATCGGGAAAAGACATTTTTCAACGGATTGGTTTTCGTAACCACGTTGTCAACAGGATTTGCTACTTCACAAATTTCAACCTTCACAGCTCTTGGTCGTTTTCATCAGTGTTTTTTGTGGAATTATCGAACTCGATGTTCCTCCATTCCCTCACTGATGAGCTCGGGACTTACTGGTGAGCTCGGGAGAAGACTGTGCTTTCACTTGGCTTCCGTCCAAGGGCACGTGTAGAGCAGAGTCCGAGCTTACCTTCTTTGTGTTGCTCCCCCCACCGTCCAGGATGTGTTTCCCACATTTGTTTTCGATTTTGACACATGAGTGTTTCATTTCGATTGTTTCACTTTGAGAATAGTGGCTAGAGTCTACCTTTCTGTTATTTAATTGCGAGCGAGTGGTGTGTGAGAGCTACCAAAATTTTTAATTTTTTGAGATCATTTATAAACAAATCTTTTAATATCTGTCTATTTTAGAAAGTGGACGATGGTTGGTGGTCACCAAATCGAGGAAGGGCCGATGATAAAAGTTAGCTTCTCTTTTACATATGATTACACATGAGTTCCTATTTATTGCATTTTGTCTACTTCTGAGGATTTTTTTAATTCACTTAAACTTTTACCTTTTCCTCTGAGTACCGAAAGATTAAATATATGCGCCACGAGTTCGGCTTTCGCTTTCCATTAAGCGTACGAGCTTAGTAGCTAGCATGAGGATTGTTTTTATGTTAAGGTACGAGTCTCATAAGCGCTGAACCGCTTCTGAAAGGGTGACAGACAAAAAAAAAAAAAAAAAAGAAAAAAAAAACAGACAGTTACGGACCACAATTTGATTCCAGAGTATCGCTAATAAACGGTGCTTGTCACGTCACTACCACTTATAGTCCGCAACAACTCATGATTTTCGATTAGTTTGATTCCTACTGCTAGTTTGCTCTATGGCTGAATTCTCCGATTATGCCTTATGGGCATCGTTCAATCCCACGTCAACGAGGAAAATGTGGCGTGGGTGTTTCACGACCAGGGCACATTGTACGTTGGGACGCGCACCAGGGGAGTCACATTTGCTTCTAAGAAAACTGGTTTCAGCTATCAAGCTGGTTTTTCCCGTTTCACTGATGCTACATATCCCACTCCCCACCCACTCAACGGTAGTTTTTTGAGACATCCAGGATTTCTACGGGAAAGTGGTGGATAGGGTTGCTGATGGGAAGGGAGGGTCAGATGCCAGAGCACGAAATTTTGAGGGGGATCGTGTTTTGCAAAATTTGTTCCTAACGGAAGGACGTGTTCTGATCAGCTGCACACTTGCCGATTGCTAAGGAGTCTGTCTTCTGAAGCTCTAATGTGGTTGTGTCTAATCCATGGCTTATCCAGAAACGTGCAAGTAGCTATAATTTTGCGCCCATACACATAATCTTTTAGCGAAATAATAAGTTCAGGTACGTGACAACTACCTGTCGGACGCAGCACGTGAGAGGCTTGGAGACGCGTTGTCCGATTCACTTCTTAACCTTACCACCGATCTACGCTCCCCATTTGCTGCTTTCCTATTATCTTTACAACTCGTATGCAATATAGCCAGGATTTTTGACTTCCGACTGCCTTATCTGGTACGTGGAAATGTTCGACTTTATGTTCATTGTGTACTTGACCCCCCCTTATATGAATTTTTTTCAGTTGACCTATCGTGATGTTGCTTTGAGAGAGCGGTGGAGTCGTGAACTCCTCGATAATGACTGGTGAGCTATGAACATTTTGCCCAGTATTTCAGAATCACATCTTCACAAGAGTACTGCTCTCTTTCAATCATTTTCGCAACGTTTCAGTATTCCGTGAGATATTTGCCGACCTGTCATGGTTACAGGTTCAAATTCTGTCAGTCAGTGCTGTCACTAGGTCTTCATTTGGGAATGCCACCGGAAAATCTTCACTTCAACTATCCTCATTCGAATATCATTGAACAAGCACGATTCGTTTGAAGGAGTTGTTTGGCTTCCCAAAAGGTGAGAGTTTCAGTGTTCTCGTAAGGAGATACCTCCATTATCTTGTTTTGTATGAGTCGCTGAGGCTGCAGTTATACTTTGCGTCAGCTTACGCCAAGTAAAATTTTTTCGGCGAGCAATTTGAGGTTGAGCAAACTGCTTCACGCGAGGTACGCTGGTGTAAATGGCATATGCCTGGCTTTTGCTTTATGCGATATTATATCTTCTTAAGTCATCCGACACACACCGGTGATGTACGTTAACGTACCCTGGCGAACACTGACGTTCATACTTCCCCGGTCGCAGGCGCTGGTGTACTATCGTAACATTGCCTTACGCTGATGCAAAGCATAAATGCAGCCTAATATATTTCTTGGATTTTCTCCACGATTTTGAGCTAGATATAAGGAAAAGGGATTTTGACTTTCATATATACTGCCATGTTCCTGACCGTGGTCGATGGTGAACTTCTTATTTTTCTGACGTTTTGACCAGAACCAAAATCTTTACATTCTCTTATTTAGCCCCATCCAGTCATATTAGCTAGCAGTCATCGTTTTGAGATTAACGAAAACTTGGCTCGAGTAAATGTCCACGATAGAGAATTGGTCAGTTTTGCATCTTTTTTTAATCTGTCAACAAATTTATAGGCCTTTTCCATCTTTTTCTGTTAGCAGTGCCACTACTTCTTACTTTTAGATTTCTGAATGGGATATTTGCGAAGATCTCGACATGTGACAGTTTTGTATCTAGTTGTACATATATGAGAAGAACTGTTTATAGTACTCTAGGGTATGGTTATTGAATTGAAATGTTGTGAAAATCGTTACAAAATGAAAAGTATCCAAAGAATGATTTTGGTCATCTAAACGATACACAGAACTGCTGCTAAACGATACACAGAACTGCTGCTAAGTCGATCAAGTGATCAGGTTCCTCATTAATTCAGTCTTCTCATATATCGTTCAGGAGATCCGCGTCGTGGTATCGCGCGTCAACCAGCAAGTGGTTCTAGCTAGCTGGCATAACCTTGTGTCGTCAAATTACCTTGGTTTTGGTGGTCGTTGATATGCCTTTAATTTCACGGCCTTGTCTCAATGAGACGACAGTCGGTGATGGTTTCTTCTATAGGTTGGAAGGAAAGTCCTGTCAGTGTTTCCTTTAAAAGCTTACAGTTTTTGATTCTCGATGCTTGAACATGAGGTAATATGCCATGCTTGTAGAACATTCTGAGAGCTTTCGTGCAAGAGGTGTGTGAGGGCGCCTGCTCTTTCCTGGGTCTAATTACGATTTTAGTTTCACAGGAGCATCTTCAATCATCTTCTAGCGGGGCCCTGC